AGAAGAGTCCCAAATTAGAAAATATCCACTAATTTTCAACGCAAACCTACTCCAACTCCACCAGAAAGAGACACCGAGAACCAGGTTACAACTCTCACTCAGTACAGATACCATGAGAACACAGCCTGTTAAATGAGAATACAATGTAAATAAACTCCCAAGAGGTAGAGTTATCTTTTTGTTTTGATCACCTGAACCTGACGGTGAGATGAGCACCATATCAGAGTCATTATGCACAGCAGTGAAAACATTAATAAATGAGAATTTGCAAAACACGGGGCTAAAGTAGTCTTCTTGCTACTTCTTACATTGTTTCCAGTTTTATAATCTTTTGTCCAGCTTAACTGTTTTCAGATCTAAAGCAAAGCAGCAGCCTGTATAACAACAACTGTTTAAGAGATGCCACATCAGTCACTGAAGTTCCCAAGTTTTGATCACCAAATGTTTAGAAGAAATTTTAAGTTTTTAAGGGATTTTGCTCTCCCTAAGCCACTATACCATCTCCTCTCAGTCATTCCTAACTGACTAAATACGTTCCAGAACACCGTATTTTGTGATATTACATACACAATGTTAGGTTCTGGTATACATACTGTAACAACATCACCGTACAGCAGAATAAATTAAAAAAGGGAAGAAACATTTTCCAGAAAGGGAAAAATATACATAGGTTTGAACCTACACTGCTCTTAATACCATTACTCAGAGGCTCATCATAGCAGTAAGTTTACCATATATACATTGTAACCAATCAAATTCTATAAATTATCTGGGTTTGCCTCTACTTCATTCATCATCCCCAGCTTTCACAGGCATAATAATCCACTTATATCATGATGTTACTTACAAACTTCAAAAGGCAGATGTTTTCTCTCAGTGCTCCTACACAACCAGCAAATCCCAAAGTAAACATCACTATTCCCACCACTAAGACGAGCACCACTGGGTCAAGACCATGAAGACCAGTCACTTTTGTCAGATCAGACAATACACCCTGAAACAGAAAAACAGGATAACAGAAAAAGGTGACCACTATAAACAGGTTTTTCATCTAACATTCCTTCTGGATGTCCTTGACTCCAAATGAATTGCTTGCAAACCCTTGAGCTTGCCAACAACGGCCCACACGGAAAAGTCTTGTTGTGAAATGGTTATTGACGATACCAATTTTCACCCCAGCAGAGGAAGTACTAATGCAAAGTTACAGCTATTAATTCTTTTAGTAAGTAAATCCAGTCAACTGGATAAGTCAGCTTCCCAGATTACACATGCCTAGGTCTATTTGCCAAACAAGCTTCCACAAGATGGTGCCAAAAGCTCAATACTATCACTGAATATTCATTTAGTTTCTAGCCAAAAGAATTAATGCTTGATATTAATTGAAATGCATCAATCAGAAGGACACTCCAGTTTAAAAGTCTTTTAAAAAAAAATATTTTTTTTCTTCAATCCTAATGTTTAGGTAGCAGAAAAGGAGAGACATTCTAACTACAAAGCAGGTTATGGGTAACATTAAGGGAGGAATAAAATCTTGTTTTGGTTTTCAAGGGGAGTAGGTTTTGGTTTTTTTTCCTCTCAACATTTTAGTTATAAGCCTTCTAGTGCAGAATAGTCTTAGAAATGCTCTTCCAAAATCTTGCAAAAATATAGAAGTCTAGTCTAAATATTCCCCTTGCACCCCAGATAAAATTCTTACACCAAAAGAAGTTATCTACTCCCTATAAGATACTTGCAATTTGCCTAGTTTAGCAGCAGTATTTTTTCTTTTTGTCAACTATCCAGAGATATCACTTATCCTGACAATAATCTTACCTTTTAAGCCTGTCTGCCTAGATCTTAGGACAGAATTTCTAAGTGTACGTAAACATAATGCTAACACGGTGAAGTCCTTAGCATTTCTAGATTAGGTTTTAAAGAAATTAAGCTGACATACCAGCTACCATTAAAATTCAAACACACATCACCCAAGCGTCTCCTGCAGTGTGCAAGAACAATAAGCAACTTGCAGAAGACCGAAGGGCCAAACAGCTGAAACTCTTAAAGTTAGCATAGGGGCATCCAGGCAGCCTTGCAATAATCAGAATTTTCATCATATACTCATCAGCAATACACAGAACATTCTAACAAGGAAATACTTTCCCTTTAAAACAGAAAAATAACAAAAATCACCACAGTACAGTATCCCATGACTACGTTTACCGTCTTTTTTCTCCATAAAGTATATCCTTAAGCTAACTATGTTTAGCGTAAGGGAAAGATGTCAGAGACTCACAAGCAATTCATATAAGGAGCCCAATTCTGTCAACGGAATGTAAGTTCTCATCTTGTTACACAAGTATTTGTGCTAGAGTTAAGTGCAAAGAGCATACATTCTAAGCGAACACCTTGGAAAAATCCGTATCACTTTGTATTTAAATGCTTACTTAAAAATAATGTCTTCAAAACACAGCATTAGAAGAAAATGTGCACATGGAGAAACTTCATCAGCTGGTTAACATCAGGGATGTTAATCACTGATTAACGGTACCATAGTGATACACAGGAATTCATCTTCTTTTATAATATGTTTCATAACAGGTCTTGTTAGATCTGTTAATTCGGCAACAGTGAGGTAATAGAGTTGTTTTTACCAAAACTGGTTGAAGGGATGAAAAGAAGAAGAAAAAAAAAAAAATAATTGAACTGTAGAATTCAGAATTGCCTTGCAACAACTGGTGACTAATAGCTGAAATAGCTTATTAAAAAGCAGCCACAGTTTATATATTTCCCAGCATTCAGAAAGTTTTGGGAAGCAAAGACTTTTCTAGTTGGTGTCACCAGTGACATTTCCATTCTTATAAACTGTAAGACCTCACACCTAACTATCAAACTTGGTCTACTGGGTTAATTACAAGAGTCCCACCTAATCAAACCTTGGCTCAGACCCCACAATCAAGGAAGGAGTGTGATTAGCTAGGCTAACTCAGTGTCTTTGTGGAACCAATACACTATGAAACCAACCACTGTGTGACCAGGATGTTGAAACTTTCACAACTATTTCCAGCCATCTTCCCACACCCAAATTCAAGCTTTTTTCAGACAAATCTCACTTGCTCAAGCAACATCTTTCAGAAGAAAACTTCCTCCGATCAAAGCATGTTAGAAGAAAAGTTAGCAGGAACTAGGCTCTATTATTCACCCTCAGATGTTGCTGGTTCACAACAATTTCTTCATGTTCACATTTGATGTTTACAACATTCTCTTTCGGAAAGAAGGTTGTGGGGTATTTTTTGCCTAACAAAAGATGTTAAATGAAAAATCATAAAGGAAGGAAGTAAACAAGAGAATTAATTCAGGGGACTATCTCATTCCACCTCACTCATCTCTCTAAGGATGCTTCTGCCTGTGCCATCTGCAGGATGGTAAAAGCTCTTTGAAGCACAGGCTGCTTTTACAACAGCACCTAGATTGCCTAGATTTACAGGAAACCTGATACCTGAAGTCAGCATCAAAAAACCCAAGAATAAAACTTAGCCTTTAAGTCTTCCTTTCAGTCACTTAGAACAGTGAATTAAGAGTTCAACTCTACATGCTTAACTTGTTTTCTGCTTTCTTCTAATGTTTGTCAGCATTATGCCACCATTTCAGCTGAAGTCTGTTGACAGAGGGCAAACATGGATTGTCTTTAAAAAAATCTAAGACAGCAACAAATGCCAAACCAGCTACTGTTTTGAGATAAACTAGTACTGAAACTACAGAATATAGATGACAAGGACAGAGTTGATTTCTTACAATGACGTCTTGTCAACGAGATGTTGATTGTGACAGTATCACACTGCTACCGATTATAACATGCACAAACCTTTAGACAGTTTACAAATCTCTGCATACAAACACAAAGATCAGCAGACTAAAGAATAAGTACCCTTAATCATAGAATAAGTTAAGGTTAGAAAAGACCTGCCTGACACAGGGGAGCCCAAAACTGGACACTGTACTCCAGATGCAGCCTCAAGTGTGAGGAATACTGTTGGAAGAAGGCCTCCCTCAACCACTGGCTACATAGATGCTAATATATCCCAGGATGCTCTTGGCCTTGACAAGAGGGCACACCTGGTATTCAACTTACTGATCAACAGGAGATTAAGGCTTTTTTTCCCTCACAAAGCTGCTTTCTAGGCAGTCAACCTGCAGCCCATACTGATGCATGGGGCTACTCTATCTCAGGCACAGGACTTTACATTTGCCTTTTTTTTTTTTATATAAATAACTTGTATAAGGTTCCTGTCAACCCATTTCTCCATGCTTTTGCATTCCCTCTAAACAACAGTCTTGCTTTGAAGTAGACTGACTGCTCCCTCTCCATTTGCTATTAGGCATGAACTTGCTGGAATTAAGTTAGGCTGACTAACCTCTAGTGTCCTAAATCTTCCTTTGTGTCCTACTTGAAATGATTTTACCAAAAAAACCCTATTTTCCAGATGAGAGGGCTCAGTGTTATTACCTTGCTTCTATTAACAGTTTATTATAATTCAGTTTCTCTTAGTGATTTTTGCAAACCTCTTGGGTGACAGTATTAAAACCTATTCAGTTTCTGTTGTGTAGACTTTTAAAATTTTAAGCAGTTTCACTTTTACATGACTGTTCAGAATAACAAAACCCAGTTATAAAAATCGTAAGGATAGACCAATTAGATACAGCAGTTAAAGTGTGGATTTGACTCAAACAGATAATGCAAATCAGGATGGGTAACATTTTTACATAAAGTATTTTCAACATTTCTCACAAACCAGCATTCTCATCTAAAAGAGATGCACAGGATTTATATCCAGAAAAAAAGAAGTCTGCTCAGGTACTAATCTGAAGTGTAGTTCCTGTGGAAAAAGACAAGATAAAACAGAAGTTAAAGGGACCCAATGTACTTCACGTTGCACTAAGAAGACAGGATGTTCAGAACTCTTCCACTACTTGTAGATTATCTTTGGGTCTACCACTGCAGCACAGCTTCTGGAATGTTTTTCTCTTACTTCCCAATCTATTGTTCACCAAGACATTTACCTGTAAACAGACAGATCCATACAGGCACTATGGCTGAAGAACAGTGCTAGTATGAAAGACTGATCACATAGAGAACAACAAACATGAAAAATAACGTACAGATTTCATGAGCCATTCAGAAGTTCAAAACCACAGGAAAAGCTTTGAAGCACTTATTTGCAAGATAGGACAGAAAGCAGAAATAGTTCATATAAAATCTAAGACATAAAGACAGAAAGAGTCTGTCCTTGCCCTTTAGTAACTTCAATGTATCATAAAGTCCATTTGGCAAATGGAGGTAGTTGTGAGCTAGTAATTTCCAGCCACACAGATCCTACGTGCTTCTTTCCAGAAAAGAAGATAATACCAATCCAAGAAGAGTTTAACACTCTACCTAAAGGGTTGGAAAGAAAATTCTTTTATAACAACAGAATAGGAGGTAAATGCATTTGTGGGTGGAGATAGGCTGTTTACTATATATCAGTGATACCACTAATCTAGTTGTGAGAATGTGTGCATGCACATAGGGAGCAGAGAGAAGGAGAATAAATACCTCAGCATTAAGATCATCATAAAACTCTTTCACTTCCAAGAAGTGGAGGAATTCCAGAACCTCTCTGTATGGCATAGCTGCTGTGTATAAGCACTCTAAGGAAATATTACGCTATGATGGTAATTAAAGTGTTCCTACTCAGCCACACAACTGAACAGTGAGGGCACCTGCCTTCCACTGTTAATTAAGATGCAGATTAGTATACCTGCTAGTAATCACCACTTTTTTCCCCCTACTGCTTACAGTCACATTAAAGCCACACTTTTACATTCATAACAAGCAGGTGAACCATTCACTTCCACACCTATACCATATCTCTTCTCTTGTAACAGGACAGCTCTGTAGGTACATATCTGCAGACTTCCTCTGACTGAGGAAGTTACTCAACTGAAAGAAACGTTTGAGTGTTATTCAGCTACATCATGTTCCCCAATTTTGTTCAACATAGAGACACAACCAACACAGAGACACAACCACTTAAGCAACTCCATAGGGAGTAAAGTGGAAGACAACAGATCGGAATACTTCAGAAAGATGGTCCCAAAGACGCTTTTTTTTTTTTTAAATACAAAAAAAAATATTATCTTTTACATTACTCTCAAATGCTTCTTGTTTTTAATAAAGAGAACTGGGTAGAGAAGTGTATTTTAGAAAACACGCTTTCAAAAGAGAACCAGTTCATAAAAAACTATTCATAAAGATTACATTCTCCCTAGCATCCTGCTCTTACAATTTTACAAAGAAGGTCTAAACATCAAGGGCCACACAGCTTAACACCTGATCAGGGACAAGAATGAAACTCCAGCTAAACTTAGTTTAGATCACTTGAACATGGTTCTGAGGTCAAATGCTTTAACCTTTCCTGATTCCTAAGGAATTAGTTTTACTGGGGCAGGGAGCAGGACAGGGCAGCCACCAAACAAAAACCAGTCATTTCTACCCTTACCTTTTCACTCCATGCCCACAGACCAGCTGCAAGGAAGGCCACCCCAGCTAGCTAAAACAAAAAGAAAAAAAAATAATTAATGAGATATACTGATCAACACATTCTCAAAACACATAAGCAGTAGCACTGTTGCTCAATCAAAACAAATATTGTTTGTAATCACAGACAACATGGGGACATTCCTCCCCATAAGTCAATCCCTTGCAAAAAGGATTTAGAGTGCTTTTATTCCACAGCATTCTTGCATTTTTAAACTACTTTTAAAAAGTAGTTTAATTTGATTATTCATGATTATTCAAGAAGCACACAGCATTAAATTAACAGTTCCAGAGCAGCATGCAAGTGGGAGTTATGCTTGTCCCAATGACTTGCTCCAAACCTTTTGCCTGCACATTAATGAAGATTTCAGAATATTTAATGCATTTTGAGGTTATTTCCTATTTAGTAATTTTATAATACCACCCCCAGACAGTAGCCATGCTTGACTCTCCATAACTTCTCGGTGTCAAGGCTCATATTATCCTCTTCTCCAATTAAATAGTTTGTCTTCTGAATCCTTACCTTGTTTAAACCCTTTTGAATTAAGCTGAAGTAACAGTCCATCCACTTACTTTAAATAAGCGAAATATCTAATTGACAACATAAAAACCCTACACCAATTCATATGTTTGTATAATAAATATTTCTGAACTATATTCATCCAAATGAAGGAAGAGATCCTTGTTCTAGTTTTTCAATTCCCTTTCTCCTTTCGCAGACAGTTTGTCTGTAACATCCAATTTCAATAATCACACTAACATGACCTCTCTACAAACTGAGGGCAGATCCCCCTCATTACTTAAAATGGCATTCTACCCTGCTACGTCCATGTAACCTTAAAAGACATCAAGGTGCTGGAGCATGTACAAAGAACAATGAAGTTGGCAAAGGGTCTAAAGAATATGTCTTATGAGGAGAGGCTGAGGGAACTGGGTTTGTTTAGCCTGGAGAAAAGGAGGCTGAGGGGAGACGGTATCACTCTCTACAACTACCTGAAAGGAAGTTGTAGCCAGGTGGGTGTCAGTCTCTTCTCCTAAGTAACAGGCAATAGGACAAGAGAATGTGGCCTCAAGTTGCACCAGGGGAGGTTTAGATTGGACATTCAGAAAAAATTTCTTCACCAAAAGGGTTGTCAGTCATTGGAACGGGAAGCAGTTGAGTCACCATCCCTGGAGGTATTTAAAAGACACATAGATCTGGTTCTTGGAGACATAGTTTAGTGGCGGACTTGGCAACATTAGATTCATGGTTGGACTGGATGATCTTAAAGGTCTTTTCCAACCTAAGTGATTCTATGATTCTATACAAAGGACTGAGGTTTCTCCTCCTCCCAAACCTTATACACATTTACAAGTAAATCCTAACAACTAAAAAACACTGTGAAAAAGGGGTCCTTTCCTCTAGGAAATGCAGCACCTCCCATGACCTAAACAGGCATCACAGCCAACTCCCCACAGCACAGGCAAGAAGCAAAAATGGGACCCTCTTACAGTCACACAAGAAAAGATATCTATAGATTTTAAGTACTGCTGGGTTCACTGCCTGCTGACCCTAAACTGCACTCAGGGCAAAATAAGTTGTTCCGGGTTTACTCTGCTGGGGGGGCGGGAAATGGGGGAAAGGAAAGCCAAAAAGGGTTGCAAGTGTGACTCATGTCATTCTGCAAAAATAACTCAAATGATGTTAGACATTTCTGTCTAGCCATGAAGTATTACATGCCTAAATCTTAACCCAGTGATTTTCAGATGAAGCAGCAAGATAAGAAAAAATTTTTAAAAAAATAAAATAAAAAAATCAGTAATCAAACTTGTATGTCATTAAGTTACACAATGCCTCCTTCACCTTTTCTCATCCCAAATTCTCCAAGAATGCTGGGCAACAAGTGAAGACAGCTAGTATAATTTGCAGTAATCAGACTAAATTACACAGTAGACACAGCTGAATCTTTGAGAACTTTTTCTAAAGAAATTATGGGAAAAAAAAAGAATTGGGAAGACACACATCTTCCACACTCTGTATACAAACTAATGTTAGTGTAACACTAATACTGTGCTACTGAATATATAAATAGGATGTCCTCTTCAGATTGGCTGCCTTTCATTATAACCACCATTTTAATTAAATTGGAATAGATTAAGTAGATTTTTCACTAGCATGCTTCATTCTCACCTCTGAAAACAAATATCGCTCTCACATTTTTATGAAGCGTTCAGTTTCACAAAACTACGCTATTTTTGCAAAGTTATTTCCATGAGCACTTATGCAAACTATCCACAAGTAAACAGTTTATCAGCAGAATAATAAACTTAGTCTTATAGAATCAACATGGATAAATCAAACTTAATTCAGCTAAGAGACAAATGATTAATAATTCTCACTAGAAGCAGCCATACCACACACACATTAGGTTTCTTTAGCAAAAACCAGTGAAGTTTGATGCACTTGCAGAAAAAACAGAGGCATCAGCCACTACGTTTACAGGTGCAATTACAAAGACAACCAATTTGCAAGGAAGTAAAATGGTAGTTCTTTAATTGAATGAGATTTCTCTGCTTTAAATACCATGTGCAAAATACTTTAAAGTATCTAATTGAAAGCTATTGTAAAACATACCATGGTGATAAAACTACCTCAGAACTTAACATGACTGTGCACATCCAAAACAGAGTTCTACAGAGAATTAGCACCAGGAAAATACCCTCTACCACTCCAGCACAGACACACTCAAATGATTGCGATGAGGCAGACCAGGGAATTGATGCAGCCTGAATTGAAAGAAAAGTTTTAACCTTCTTCAGCTCACTGAACTAACTGGCCACACGAATGGGAGAACAGACAGACAAGAATTAGCACTGCTAACTGAAAGTGTTCCCAGGGTGAGAGTGAGCAAGCCAGCTATTTCAAAAGAGGCGCACCAGAATCTGGATGACATGTGAACAAGGACAAACTGGACTACTCAGTTCACTTCTATGCCATAGAGTCATTTTAAGCCAAATACTGAATGAAAGGTTAGATGGAAACGTGCACAAGGCAGCTCAACTGTATCCCTTTGAACAGGAAACCAAAACTAGCAACCAGCATTTGGTCATTTCCTGCTTTAGAACTGAAAACCCCACATTATTATCATATTGCATCAAGCTGTAAGCTCTGCTCAGGAGACATACAATACTGATGCCAACTCACAGACACCATGTACAAGACCACTTAGCTTAAGCATTATCCACTGCCAACCACACTTTGAATTCCTTTGACTATACTATTTAGAATCACCCTACTAACTGAGAAAACAGGTTCCAATTTGTTTCTCAAATCTAGGTTGCAGCTAAACCTAATTCTTGCAAGACAACCCTTGCACACAAACTGATTTTGCACTCAGTTTGTGTAAGCACAAAATGTTGCTCTTACAGAGAACACTTTCTCCACCCCCTGGACAATCCTGTCTTACATTGTAGCTCCAGCCATGCTGGAGCAATCAACAGCCTACAGCCCTTCCTTCCTACCCTAGTCTCTTCCCAGACTTTTCCTCTCAGGGTCAGGAAACGAGCTGGTAGTCAATTTTTTCCTATTCCTGGCACAGCCTTGCTGTTTTAGATGTTCTTGAGAAACAACATACACTGCAAAAAGCCAAGAAAATCCTGTACTAGCCTGGGTCTCCTCTCACTTTTTAAAAATGAGGTCAGAATTCTTTTCCAGAGCTTAAGCAAATTTTTGCCCTTCATCACCATGTTCAGGGCAAAATGCCACATCTCCTATAGCATCAGTAAAAATTTTTATTTTTTTTTCCCTTCCAAAAACCCTTAAGGGCCACACACAAAGCTACAAAGCATTAGACAATAAATCAAGATGACACCAGCTAAAAACTTTTACCCTCTTCTCTCAATTCATCTGAGAGACAGTGAGCTCACATGCAATCTAAAAGGCTTTGGCAGAACACACATGCAATCCTTCACTTCCCAGAAGCAGCCATGTCCTGGCTGAGGTGCAATTCTTGGACCACCCCAAAAAAAAATCCTTCAACTGGAGACAAAGAAGCAAGCACTAGACACAGGTGATTGAGGCACCACCTTTTATTCTCTGCGCCTTACCAAGTGCAGGCTGGAAGGCACAGGGCAGCGCTGCACCCCGGGACAGGGCACCCTGCACAGCCCCTGGGGTCAGTTGTTCACCCCCTGCCTCCTCCCTCCACTGAGGTTTTTGCAAAAATCACCACTCAACTGCAAAACGACTCAGAATAGAAAGGTGCCAGAACCAAGCTCTGCCCTTTGCATTACTGCAGTCCTTTAATTTCATTATGACAAATGAAGCTATTTGGAAAAAAAAAAAAAAGCTTTAAAACTCAAAAGGAGGTCCAGCCTTGCTGTAATGGGGTACTTTCACTTAAACTTCTGAGCACTCCCTGCAGGGCTATCTTAACCATTGCAATACTGCCTCATCACTACTCATTAAAACAAGTGTACTCTGAGAAGTTAAATCTTATTAGCACGCTTAAAAAGCAAGATGAAAATAAAGTAATCCTACATTAAAACAATACCTAGAAAGACAGAGCCTTCCTATGACCTCTGTTCCCTTTCTCACAAGGGAAAGCCAAACACAAAGAACAGAGAAGTGATTTTGCAAGCCAGTCATACAGAACTAACTCAAAGCCATCAGAACTGAACCTTCAATTGCCAAGTTGCCCATCTGAAAAAAAAGTTCCCAAAGAACTATTTACAAATTTTAAAACACTGATTAAACTATGAGCTTGCCATTACTAAAATAAACTTATTTGTCCTTTTTTGAGTTAATATTTTGTTCCACCCCAATCTACGTGAATTGTATTTGAAACTGATGTTAACCTGAAGAAAAGTAATCACCCACTAAAAAGTTTAAATATTCTGTAAACTACTCACTAAATCACCACACACCTTAAATCTAAAGTTTATACAATCACTGATATTATCTTTAGAGCTACAACGTGGAAGTCAACATGCATCTTCAGCAAGCATAACAGAACAAATGCAACTCTTCATTTACATGCAAATTACATGGCTTGTGAATAAAATGTCATGAG